CGTGCCCAAAACGTAGCAAAGGAACCCCAAAAAAGGGCCTAACGTCACTTCTGAAACCCTACTTAAAATTGCAACTTTGCCGCTGCCTGCCGCTGCCTGCCGCTGCCTGCCGCTGCCTGCCGCTGCCTGCTACTGCCTCTGCTGGTGTCTGCTGCTGCCTGCTGCTGCCTGCTGCTGCCTGGTGCTGCCTGCTGCTACCTGCTGCTGCCTGCTGCTGCCTGCCTGCTGCTCCTTGCTGCTGCCTGCTGCTGGTGCTGCTGCTGGTGGCTGCTGCTGCTGCTGCGGTGCTGCTGCAATCAAACAGCCTCCAAAGCAAGAAACAAACAGCCAGACACCCTTTTCGAAACATATCCGAAACAGCAAAACACCACCTAATGTCGTGCCCAAAACGTAGCAAAGAACCCAAAAAGGGCCTAACGTCACTTCCTGAACCCTACTATAAAATTGCAACTTTCCGCTGCCGGGGGGTGCCGCTTGCCTGCTGCTGCTGCTGCTGCCTGGCGCTGCCATCTGCTGGTGTCTGCTGCGCCTGCTGCCTGCCGCTGCCTGCTGCTGCCTGCTGCTGCCTGCTGCTGCCTGCAGCTGCCTCCGGCTGCCTGCGGCTGCCTGCCGCTGCCTGCCTGCTGCTGCCTGGTGCTGCCTGCCTGCTGCTCCTTGCTGCTGCCTGCTGCTGGTGCTGCTGCTGTGGTGCTGCTGTGGTGCTGCTGCAATCAAACAGCCTCCAAAGCAAGAAACAAACAGCCAGACACCCTTTTCGAAACACATCCGAAACAGCAAAACACCACCTAATTTCGTGCCCAAAACGTAGGAAAGGAACCCCAAAAAAGGGCCTAACGTCACTTCTGAAACCCTACTATAAAATGGCAACTTTGCCGCTGCCTGCCCGCTGCCTGCTGCTGCTTGCTGCTTCTTGCTGCTGCCTCTGCTGCCTGCTGCTGCCTGCTGCTGCCTGCTGCTGCCTGCTGCTGCCTGCTGCTGCCTGGCTGCTGTCTCTGCTGCTGCCTCTGCTGGTGTCTGCTGGTGTCTGCTGCTGCCTGCTGCTGCCTGCTGCTGCCTGCGGCTCCCTGCTGCCTGCTGCTGCCTGCTGCTCCCTGCTGCTCCCTGCAGCTGCTGGTGGCTGCTGCTGCTGCAGTGGTGCTGCTGTGGTGCTGCTGCAATCAAACAGCCGCCAAAGCAAGAAACAAACAGCCAGACACCCTTTTCGAAACACATCCGGAACAGCAAAACACCACCTAATTTCGTGTCCAAAACGTAGCAAAGTAACCCCAAAAAAGGACCTAATGTCACTTCTGAAACCATACTGTAAAATTGTAACTTTGCCGCTGCCTGCCGCTGCCTGCTGCTGCCTCTGCTGGTGTCTGCTGCTGCCTGCTGCTGCCTGCTGCTGCCTGCAGCTGCCTGCGGCTGCCTGCGGGTGCCTGCCTGCTGCTCCCTGCTGCTGCCTGCTGCTGGTGCTGCTGCTGGTGGCTGCTTCTGCTGCTGCTGTGGTGCTGCTGTGGTGCTGCTGCAATCAAACAGCCTCCAAAGCAAGAAACAAACAGCCAGACACCCTTTTCGGAACACATCCGAAACAGCAAAACACCACCTAATTTCGTACCCAAAACGTAGCAAAGGAACCCCAAAAAAGGGCCTAACGTCACTTCTGAAACCCTACTATAGATAAAATTGTTGCAACTTTGCCGCTGCCTGCCGCTGCCTGCCGCTGCCTGCTGCTGCCTGCTGCTGCTCTGATTTGGTGTCTGCCCATGCTGCCCTGCTGACTGCCTGCCTGCTACCTGCTGCCTGCCTGCTGCTCCCTGCTGCTGCCTGCTGCTGGTGCTGCTGCTGGTGGCTGCTGCTGGTGGCTGCTGCTGCTGCTGTGGTGCTGCTGCTGCAATCAAACAGCCTCCAAAGCAAGAAACAAACAGCCAGACACCCTTTTCGAAACACATCCGAAACAGCAAAACACCACCTAATTTCGTGCCCAAAACGTAGCAAAGGAACCCCAAAAAAGGGCTTAACGTCACTTCTGAAACCCACTATAAAATTGCAACTTTGCCGCTGCCTGCCGCTGCCTGCTGCTGCTTGCTGCTGCCTGCTGCTGCCTGCTGCTGCCTCTGCTGGTGTCTGCTGTGCCGCTGCCTGCTGCTGCCTCTGCTGGTGTCTGCTGCTGCCTGCTGCTGCCTGCAGCTGCCTGCGGCTGCCTGCGGCTGCCTGCCTGCTGCTCCCTGCTGCCTGCTGCTGGTGCTGCTGCTGGTGGCTGCTGCTGCTGCTGCTGTGGTGCTGCTGTGGTGCTGCTGCAATCAAACAGCCTCCAAAGCAAGAAACAAACAGCCAGACACCCTTTTCGAAACACATCCGAAACAGCAAAACACCACCTAATTTCGTACCCAAAACGTAGCAAAGGAACCCCAAAAAAGGGCCTAACGTCACTTCTGAAACCCTACTTAAAATTGCAACTTTGCCGCTGCCGGCCGCTGCCTGCCGCTGCCTGCTGCTGCCTGCTGCTGCCTCTGCTGGTGTCTGCTGCTGCCTGCTGCTGCCTGCTGCTGCCTGCTGCTACCTGCTGCTGCCTGCTGCTGCCTGCCTGCTGCTCCTTGCTGCCGCTGCTGCCTGGAGCGGCTGAACTGGGTTGCTGCTGTCCGTGCTGCCCCTGTGGTGCTGCTTGCCAATCAAACAGCGCTCCAAGCCAAGAAACAAACAGCAGACACCCTTTCGAAACACATCCGAAACAGCAAAAACACCACTAATTTAGTGCCCAAAAACGTAGCAAAGGAACCCCAAAAAAAGGGCCCCGTAACGGCACTCTGAAACCCTCCTACTATAAAAATTGCAACTTTGCCTGCTGCTACCTGCTGCTGCCTGCAGCTGCCTGCGGCTGCCTGCGGCTGCCTGCCTGCTGCTGCCTGCTGCTGCCTGCTGCTGCCTGCTGCTGCCTGCTGCTGCCTGCTGCTGCCTGCTGCTGCCTGCTGCTGCCTGCTGCTGCCTGCTGCTGCATGCTGCTGGCAGAAGCTGCTTGCTGCCTGTTGCTGCCTGCTGCTGGTGCTGCTACTGGTGGCTGCTCCTGCTGCTGCTGCTGTGGTGCTGCTGTGGTGCTGCTGCAATCAAACAGCCTCCAAAGCAAGAAACAAACAGCCAGACACCCTTTTCGAAACACATCCGAAAGAGCAAAAAACACCACAATTCGTACCCAAACGCTAGCCAAAGGAACCCAAAAAAGGGCCTAACGTCACTTCTGGAGCGAAAACCTACTTAAAATTGCAACTTTGCCGCTGCCTGCGTTGCTGCTGCTGCCTGCTGCTGCCTGCTGCTGCCTCTGCTGGTGTCTGCTGCCTCCATGGCTGCCGTGCCTGCCCTGCCCTGCCGCTGCATGCCTGCTCCTGCCTGCCTGCTCCCCGCGCTGCCTGCTGCTGGTGACCTCCATGCTGCTGGTGCTGCTTTGCTGCGTGGCTGCCTGCTGCTGATGTGGTGCTGCTGTGGTGACTGCTGCAATAAACAGCCTCCAAAGCAAGAAACAAACAGCCAGACACCCTTTTCGAAACACATCCGAAACAGCAAAACACCACCTAATTTCGTACCCAAAACGTAGCAAAGGAACCCCAAAAAAGGGCTTAACGTCACTTCTGAAACCCTACTGTAAAATTGCAACTTTGCCGCTGCCTGCCGCTGCCTGCTGCTGCTTGCTGCTGCCTGCTGCTGCCTCTGCTGGTGCCTGCTGCTGCCTGCTGCTGCCTGCTGCTGCCTGCAGCTGCCTGCTGCCTGCTGCTGCCTGCTGCTCCCTGTCTTTTTCTCAATCTTTTCCACTTTTTCAATCTCCCACCAGCTCACCTGCTGCTGCTGCTGCCCAAAAGCACCTGCTGCTGCTAACAGAAGAGTATCAAAAGCACCTCCCGGCACCAAAACAGCAAGGCACGGAAGGACGAACAGGCCCTGCAAGCCGAACTTCGCGTCGGACGCTTATTATCCGAAGACAACCATGCATTCCTACATGGCCGACCCACAAGAGTTCCGGGAAGCTGGTGCACAAAAACTCAGCAGCCTACCTGCGGAGAAAATACATGCTATCGCTTCTGCTGCTGCTGCTGCTGCTGCTCTTGCTGCTAGTGCGGCTAAACTTGCTTGTCTTTGCTTGTCTTATTCCCTGGCGCGCTCCCCCTTGCGTCTGCCGGGGTCGGCGGATTAGTAATTCTAGATGTATAATGATTTATATAGATTTATGGCAACCCCCAATATAGAAAAGATTAGACAAGCAAAATCCTACAGCAATGGTGAATCATATGAATCATATATGAATCATATTGCTCTTCGATCAGCGCTGCAGACCATGGAGCCGGAGCTCAGCATCGGGCGCAGGAAGAATGAGATGCAGATACCAGAGGCGATGTCAGCAATTTGCACCAAACGGGTCACTAGTCCAAAAAACATCAAAGAACCAATAAATTGATAAAGAACATTCAGAACTAATTATATATATATATATTATATATATATATGTGTGTGGTTGTCCTATTTTCATGTTGTTGATGGGTGTTTGCATTGTTTTAGCTATGCAAAACTTGACTTCCATGCCACGTGTTGAAGACCACAACCAAGATTTATCATCGGATCAAACGAAGCAAACAAAGCTAGCCAAGATTCAAGTGGATGGGGAGTGGAAATCCAGCCCAACATGGCCCATGACCGTCATGTTTCTCATCTGGTGTGCATCAGGTGTGCATCTAGCATTGCCTGTATTTGCCTGTTGTTCTCTGTATGTAATACTTGTACTTGTATGATCTTGCATGATGTAGCCATATGTAGCCTGTGCAAATAGTATGGCAGCCACTTATATAATGTGAACTTACAATGTTTGCAATTGAAATCATTTGAAGATGGATCCTAGATATTTGTATCCCTAGTTTTGATATACTTGCCTAGCTTTTTGAGTCTGGTTTGGTGTCAGGACTCCAACTTCCAGAACTGCCCTGCACTTGAGGCACGGGCGCGCTGTTGGATGATAGGGGTGGCCGCCATATGCCGCCATGACCATTTTTCGCATCCGTGCAGAGGTGGTGGCGGTGGAAGATCGATCGCCTTCCAGGACGGTTTCATTCTTTTATCAAGGCCCAGCCTTCGATCTCTACGGACATGCTACTGATATGCTACGGACCATGGTCTGCAGTATGGAAACTGCCCTCTGGTGATCAAACGTACTGGATGTCCAATGTTTGACATTGTGACTAGCCGAGGGTATACGCAATTGCGCATCTCTTTGCAGGTCCAGAGGCTGAAGCGCAGGCCAGAGATCCCGTAGTCAGAAACGTCAAAGCAGACGTCGTCATATTCTCTCCACCAGGCTTTGGCAGAACATCCACTAGCAGGTGACTTCAGGTTGCAGCGCTCTCAAGAAACCAAAGGCTATCCGACTATCCACTGTTCAGAAGATGTCGCCCTATGACTCCCATGACGAAATCGACCACATGCGATGGCCAGTTTTCTGCACAGAGTGCACCAGCAGTTTGGCAACTGAGGCTGCGCCAGAGATATGGAAAGCGGCCGGTGGCACCAGCAACAATTTCCAAAGCTTGGGATGGTCCGTGTGTGTTGTGCTGAAGCAAATTCTTTGCCAGGTGTACAGGCGAGCTCCACTGCAAACATGCGGCCCCAGGTGCAACAAAAGACGCGAAGCATGTAGCTGTATGTTGACATCCGGGATTTGATAGCTGGAAGAAAAGTGAGTTCTACAACTGCCAAACATGAATAATGTTGATTTCCTGGAGGCCAAGCTTGCCTTCACAGTCGGATTCCCAGAAATTGAAGCCACTCCTTTTTCTGTGTGCCTCGACTGTCTTGCTGTAAAGGCCTGGACTTTTCCTCTTCTTCGAGCCTCGGTCTGGATACTGGGTGGTCCTACTCTCAGAGTGCAGAGTCTTATATAGTTTTATCATTTCTTTACATTTCTTTCAGTTCTTCCTGTGATTTTGATTTTTTAGAGTTCAATTTCCTGCAGTTCCATGGAATCAACTGTGGCAGATGGGATTTACGCAAACCCGCTGAGCGCCAAAGTGCTGCACTGCCCTTCAAGACTCTCAGGTCAGCACCATCTCACCTCTGGCGGCAAACCACGCGATAGCGTCGCAAGCACAGTGCAAGCGATCATCCTTGAGAAGTATCCAGTGGAATGAAGTTTCGATCAGTTTGGACAGTGCATCGAAAATCTGAAGAGATCGTCCTTCGGTATATGATTGACATCATGTGACAGATGAGGTTCGCTAGACCAGATGTGCTGGGGCGATTTGGCCAGGCCGACGGCACAGCTACAAAAAGCAGTGTTGTTACACCATGTTACGTATTTTATGTGTCAAAGACAAATTCAGCAGAGTACTCGATGTAGTTGTTGAACATGTTTGCTAAAGAAATGATGCTTTTTGATATTACTGCCTTGAGTCAAGCTTAAAAGCGCGTCAGGTCCTTGCAAGAAGCGGACCAGCTTGGAGTTCTTTGCTTCCGCAGGAGCGCAACGCACGTTTTCGTACGACGTACCGACAGAAGTGGCAGGGAGAGCCACGGATCCTGGGACACTGAAAGGAGGCTCCAGCTTGGGATGCAGCTGATAGTCAGGCCGGTGCCAACGTTGGGTAACCTTGGGACATCTTGGGACCATAGGTTGTCCATGACCTTGGTATATCTTGGTATCAAACGGCGGGATCTAGATTTTAGATGTGTGACTTTGCAGGTTCCTGGCTTTCATCACCGTTTGTCAACTTCCAGAGCCGCCATCCAAGCTTGATCTTTCACACCTGATGAAGTCCTGCAGGGGAATGGGAACTCACGTGAACACCGGTGCAAATGTTACTCCTGAAGCAGTCTAGCCATCTCATTGACATCATTGGGCCTTGATGAAATGTGGATAAAGTAGCATTACCACTTGAAGCCAAGCCTTTTGAGGCACCTCCCAGCGCTTTGCTCTCTGATCAGCTGATGCAACTTGGCGAGTGGTACTCCAGTTGATGACAGTCTGTCCTCTGTGATGATTCTCCCTAAATGGAATCCCGGCCTTCAGTCCTCAAAAGAAACATGTGCTCTTTGAAGTTGATGTGACAATGTATGAGGCCAACGGAATGGCTTCAACTCATGGCTTCCGGGACAGATGCATCGCCTACATTCTTGTGTGTGGGTGGCTGTGGAAGCAGGCAAAAAAATGCAAAAAATATCTGGAAAATGGAAGGGTGAATATGTGGCTGGGTGGCTGTGTCTTGCAGATGTGCAGCCTGGTGTCACATTGAGGTTGAGTAGGTTGAGTCAATGGAGTAGCATGGAGATGCATGGAGCAGTGAGTTGGAACATTTCTCATGATTTGTTCCTCAGGGTGCAGTCACTGAATGGCTCATATGAGCTCCTTCCTGAATCCATGTGGCTGGGACCGAGCAGTGGGTGTACGGAGACAAAGGTAGAGACACGCCAGGGAATTCTTGGAGGAAGCCCCACTTCTTGGGTTTGCATGGCAACTAGCAAGAGGGATAGCAGAAGCACTGGGAATATTTGGGAATGAAATCAAGTGTTGTAGATATTTTCATAAATTCCTTAAAATTCCTTAAAATGTTATAGATATTTTCCGTATCCAGGTGGTCCCAGCGGTAGAAGGTGTTTCGAGGGTCAAAAGTGGCCCAAAGGTTGCCTCAAAGCTTGCATGCTACAAGTGCGTGTTTAATGTGCGTCGCAACTAGCTCAGCTTGAGGGAGATGGGAGCACTGCATCTATATCATTCATATCATTTTATAACCATTTATAGAGATTGAAGCCGGCATGATTCAATCCTCCTACTCGTACGGTTGTAGGGATGTGATGTAGGGCACATTGCTGCAGCAAAAGCCTCCATTTGAATCATTTTGTTTCTACCACCGACAACAAACGTCTTCAGAACCACTGTTTGCCAGCTATCATAAGATCCTGCATGAGTACTTTGCGTCACACAGCGCCCTCGGTAGGTGGGCCTCTAGGCCAGCTTGGAAGAAAATGTCCAGTGCTAAGATCAAATTGGCTCCTGTGACATCCTGCGACAGCCTGCGACATTATGCAACATCATCCAGCATGAGCTCTGCTTGTGCTCTCTAAGGCGGCCAGAGGAAGACGATGAGGAGGTCTCAAGTTGTGTTTGACTGTCGCATTCAAAGAGATTGTAGAGCCATTGCATTGATTGGCAGCCAGCAGCGGGGGAAAAAAGAACTGTAATTTTCTTGCTTGGTTTAGTATGTTTGGCACTCGCCCAAGATTCTGCCAAAAGATAGGAACTTGAGTTTCTCAGTTGGGCAATGACGGCATATTGAGCAGTGGATCAGATTCCTTGTCAGGATCACTTTCCGAAGTACATCTTCTTTTGGCCGGAGTCCGCAACATCAGCCCTGGGATTGGAATGTTTGCTGTTGCAATGATGTTGCCTGACACAGTGCTGTCGCATTTGTCTATATAGAGATTCCAAAGCTGTACGTAGGATTGGTGATGATTGTATGGTATTGTCATTGTTAACTTAGACAAATATGGGGGGTACCTAAAAAAGTGGTACCCGAAATCATCCAAAGTGATACCATTTCACTTTTACTAACCCATTGGAACTAAATGAACAGAAATCCGATGTTTTGTTGTGCTGCGATTGTTTCAGTCATTGGCATTGCATGCTCTGCCGAGGACTGGCCATTGGATCATTGGTCCAGAGCTTCATGTTGCTCAAACTGGCCAGCAAACTCAGCTGCAGAAAGCCTCACTGGAACCTACAATTGCTGTGCACATGCCTTTGTAAGTTGCGAATCATTCCATGATTGTTCCACTTGAGTCACTTGACTGGTACAGGTCGTAAAGATTCTTGTAAGATTTGTCAGGATGAAGCACATCCGCTGTTTGTAATCAGTAGATAGAGCCCTGACAGAATGCACTTGCTTGGGAAGGTGTCCACTTCTTTATATAGCCAGGCAGATCGTATACCCAGCCTCCAGTGTAAATCCTATCCCCCTAGTATTAAACAATACTAACACCCCATAAATGGTCCCAAATATGTGATTACATCCCCTACCAAACTTACTAAACCATGTTTCCTAGGGGGTTGTTGAATATTATATGGGGTTATATAATGTTATATTAAATAGATAGATGGATGGATGGATGGATAGATAGATAAAGAGATAGAGAGATAGAGAGAGAGAGAGAGATGGAGGATATTTATATAATATATATATATAATATGTGGATATAGGCCGATGAGAATCACCGCGCCGCAAGGACTGGCCAGGAATGGCCCTGGCCGCTGGGCAGCACATTCCCCTGATCATTGTCCAGGGCGTTGGGCAGCTTTGGATGGCCCAGCACTGAGACCTCCGTTGCAGGTCGACCTTTTGAAGTCTGCAACGTACTTGTATCATAATAGTGATAATTGATAAGGTAGATAGGTACATGACCATTTGTCAAAAATAGTTGTTTAGAAGTTTAGTATTGGTTGTTGATAATTCATCTGGGTCTACTGTTTTTTCCTCTTCGTTATGAGGCGGCACGCAACTAAATTCGGCAATTCTGCAAGGCAGCGCTAGCAAACCCGCTAGGTTTGCGCTAGCTTTGATTGACAGCCATGGCCTCCATGTCGTGAATGTCTTGCCAGCTTTTCTTACAAGTCTGTCAGTTTCCACATATTCCCAAATTTTCGATTTTTTACGCATTTTACGCGCTAGATCGCCGCTAGCAACGCGCTAGCGAAAATTGCAAATACATGCCCCGGTCCACCCGCAGCCCATTCAGAGGCACAGCCATGTTCACGCTTTGGTAGCTTACAGTAAGGAAACAGCGTTGATCAGGAGGCATGTCAAGAAGACACACACAGAGACACACAGTTCAGGAGATAGTACCAGCGACAGCGAATGAAAACCGACGTGCGTTAGCCGATTCCTGTGGTTTTAGAAAGATTTCCAAAGGTGACGAAGAATTTCCACGTTTTCACCTCATCAAGGTAGGTCATGTTTTTTAAAGGCAAACATGAGGCGGCACGCATGGAATTGCGATTTATCAACAAAACCGGGAACAGACATTTTGACAAACCGTCACATACACTAGATATTTGATTATCCTGTGTTATCCTCGTATAGACATAGTATATGCACATGTGTTTCACACTGTTGAATGTATTTTATTTGGTTGACTTGCTTCCTCTCCATCGCCGAATCGTCAAGGAAGTACTTTCTCTGAAGATCCCAAGATATTCGTTCGTCGTCAGAAAGCCGCCTGTATCTCAGCGTTGGCACTCACATATCATCCTTCGAACCTTTTTAGGTGTGGTCTGAACATGCTTAGTTGGTTGACAGTCATGTTCACCATCAAAATCATCATTTTGGGGTATTCGGTATCCCCCATTTCCGGACTCTGTGCGCTTTCCACCAACCTGTGCTGGTCCAGAGGCCTTCGGAGGCTTGGATACCTTTGGTCTTTCCAGTCAACAGCTCAGTTGAGCTCGCAGAAGATGCTTTTGGGATGCCACCAGCTCAAGGTGCAATGTCTCCTTGCCAGAGTTTTGGCCTCGGGATGCAGAGATTTTCGAGTTTATGCCTTCCAGAATGTTGGGAGAAAGCTCTATGGACTGGGGTAGACAAACAAAGCCTAAGTCGCAAAGTCAAGAAGTTGGTGGCCAAAACCAGAGTTCTGCACAAGATCCTTGCACAGCATGATACAGGCCGCAACATCAAACGACTGCCAGACACTTGACGCTTGAGGCCTCGGGCCTCGAGCAAAAGCATTGCCTTGTTCGCCTCGTGCTTGTAGGTCTGCATGTCGGCCTGTTCTCATCAGAAACCAGGAATCATACATATATATCATATATAATCATATATATATATACATATATATATATACATACATACATACATACATATATATATATACATATTAAGATATATACATATATACACACACACTATACATGTCTCTATATATAATTAGAGAGAGGAAGATTTTTAGCTGATTGAAAATGCTGTTATCATTTGCTATTTTTGAAATGTTCGCTGTGCCTCCAATTGCTTGAACATAGACAGAAGAAAAGAGCATGGTCCAACGACTATGGATGTTGGCACGAACAAAATGTGCTGCAGGAGTGCCATCTTCCAGTCGGAGGACGATGCGTTTCTTGAGAAACATGCTCTGTGTTTGAAGATATTTGACCTTTTCCAAGGTGGACATGCTGTATGTACCAATCAGATAACATACCTTCATATTAAACATTATCAGAATAATTTGATCGGTCAACATGTTCGCTTCTAGATTTCTGAGCTGTTCCTATGTCGCATGATGCCTCTCTTCCAGCGCCGGTGTAGCAAGAAGCGCGAGGCGACTTCCAGAGCGACAAGTCCCACAGCAGCGCGGAATTCCCCGCTGCCAAAGAGTGGAGGCCACCGACAAGACCAGATGTTTGTTGCGTGAAGTACCTTACGGAGTTTGACTTGGTCATAATGATGTCATATGTGCGCGCGTATCTGCTGATCATTTCTTATGTTTCTTGAACTCTAATTTGTTTGTTATATCATGTTATATCATGGTGATGAAAACTAATGTAAGATATTAACAACTGCATCAAAGTGCTATTTCGGTAGGACAGGACCATGCAATAGTTTCACCAGGCGAAGATCGCCGCTTGTCCAGTCCAAGAATCTCACCGCGGGAGATGCAGCTCCATAAGTATCTCAGTTGCGTTGAAGCAGCGACGATCGAGGTTTAACGGGGATGTACTGTAATGACATTTAGTGGGAAATGAACGCACTACATCTTGGAAATCTTGGAAATCCTCAGGATTTATCAACAGAAATTCGGATACAAACCAACCAAAAGAACCAAAATGGGGATAAAAATGGTGGGTGTATTGTGGCTGTCAATACTCTTTGCCTGTAACCAATAATTTCTGGGTGTGTCTGAAAATGGCACAAGACCCCCAAAACGCCCCTTTTGGTAGGGAAAATTATGATTAGCTACAGCCAATATAACCGATGATGCAGGGTACACAAAGACTTGTGGCAGGTTGCAATCTATTGCTGCGCAATTCTGAACATGATCTGTGAACCAAGGATGGGCGGCTCACCAAAATCGCCAAAAGAGAGTCATGGGAGCCCGAACTGCACAAGGTTTGCACCGCGTGAAGTCAGCCCACAGCGAAATACAAGCCCAGTTCGAACCCGGGGTATTTGTTGGCGACCTTGATGGCTGGGGTCGCAGCTCCTGCATTGTTGGGAGATTGTTTGTAGGGCAGCGCAAGCCCGTTGCATCCTGATGGAAATTTGGAGATAAAAAGATCTCATTACCCAAGTAAAGTAAGTACTCCTGTCAAAGAAATTCAAAGAATATCAAAGAGGGATTTCGGATTTAGATTCGAGACAACCCTTCACCGAGCATGTTCGCGATTTGGTGGCAGACTTTGCTTTATTATGATTTTGGAAGAAGACTGATCACCACTGGTTCTTGATTACACAAAGAGAGCATGAGAGTCGGATAGAGTCGGGATTCGGGATGAGAGTCAGGATGAGACAGGATTCTTGCTGTGTTTCACGACCTGAGAAAGAGGCGGGTCACGGAAACGTTCACGGTCAATGCACCTTCCAACAGCAGATCACAGCAGTCTGAGCAGGTCCTCGGCCCAAAGGGAACGAAAAAGTGTGGAGTCGTGGCATGCCATGGTCGGTGCATGCCAAGTGCAATGGGATTTTTGTGCGTGAAATTGGACAAGATTCGCAAGACATGTGATGGAATGCGCAGTGCTCGATGCTTTTCGCCTCAAAGCTTCAGCGGGTTTGCAAAGTCAGCTCGCATCCAGCTCTTGACCTGAGCAACCCAATCCAACATACGGTTCAGTGGTTGAAGTTAAAGCTTCGCCCTTTGGGAAAGGTTTTCTGGAACAAACAAAATCTATCAAAATCCAATCAAATTGATTCAACAACTATCAACAACTAAGAAAGGAAAGTGACATTAAAATACATTAAAGTCTACATAATTTACATTAAAGTCTACATAATTCAGAAGCACTTTCCTTTTGGGAAAGGACGGATCTAAAAATAAAAAACCTGTAGCTGGGAATCCGACAATTCTGAGCCATGTTTGAGCCAGAAGAACCAGAGCCAATGACTTAGAAAGCTCAGAATGAATGAGACCTTCGACATACTCTCAGCCAGGGAAAAATGATTAAATAATATTAAATATGCTTGTTGCAGTTTGCGTTCTACAATTTCAAAATATGTCAAACTCAAGCCACAGAGTTCACCAAATATGACTCTTCGCGAGTGTGGTTGGTGTAAGGAGCTTCAATGAGAACAAGATGTGGTATGCACAATTGGTAGGCCCGTATCTTCTGCCATCCTCAGAGACGTGGTTCAGTGGTGATTTTGGACTGCCATTTTTTTGTGGAGGCCCTTGCCTCACTGACCATGGTGATCAAAAGTGGCGAGCAGTCGACTCCTTACTCTACGTGGCTGGCGATATTCGCGACAAATTGGGAAGATCAAAACGAGAAAATTGGCTACAGAATTTCTACGGATGCAGTTTCACCCACAGGCCATCTCAACACCCAGTGGCATTGTGATCTGCCCTCCATGGTAGGAGCCTTAGTTTCGAGATGGCCTGATCTCAGGTCAGGCCATCTCAGGTCAGTAACATTGGATATACAGAAAGTAGTTATGCAGATACTAGCTACTAGCTACTAGTGTATATACAGATGCATACACTAATATGTATGTGCATATTGTACTAATATATGTATGTGTGTGTGTGGGTGCGTTATATGATTTGGATGTATACTACACATATATAATACATGTCTTGGGATAATGGATGGTGATGGGTTTTCTAGGGCTGTCGACTTTTTGCCGAGCATCGTCACTGAAGGAATGCCAGTCATGTGCTGCGCATCGATCCACGGGAGCCTCAGCAAATCGATGTGCAGATTGTAGGCGGGGCATCCATGGAGTTGTTGGTATGTCGTTGGTTCATAGTGCTGTTCCTTCGCGGCAGACTTTTCCATGGCATTTGCGGGGTTGACTTCGGGAAGTGCACCAAGTTGAAACCAGTTGGAGGTGCCGACTTGGGTCTTGGTGCTGGAAAGTGGAGGCCTGGCTCGATGGAACATGGTGGAGACGGTGGGGTCAAGCTGTTGCATGCTGGAATTCTCAGGTCCGGCGTCTTCGGTGCTGATGGGCACGTCTACTGCCCTCCTTGGTGCAGCCGTCATGTACCACCAGGGGTCCCTTCTCCTGACCCCCTTTGCACTTGGCAAGATGAACATGGCAGTCCTTTTGTAACATTCCCAAATATGACACAGTAATACATGGATACACAGATGTACTACAGACATACTACAGATATACTATAGATATATTATAGATATACTACCTCTAGATATACTATAGATATATTATAGATATACTACCTCTAGATGTACTATAGATGTACTATAGATATACATAGATAATCATAGATATACATAGATATACATAGATATACATATATATACATAGATATACATAGTAAGTGCGAGTGTCCATCAAAAAGGCTTCACCAGAATCACTCTTGTTTCTCAAGGCTATTTTCCCATTAGTTTCCATTCCTTGACATGCTATGGCAGGTTTGCCTCGCATGTTTTGCGAATCGACCCAAATGTTACGCACTTAAGATCTTCACCAGCTTCAATTTCTATTCTAACCCTGTGGGGACCAGGCACTGTTTTAGGGTTGCTGAGGTCGGAACTTCCGAGCTCATCGGTCCTGAATTCACCATGCCAGATCCACTGGAACTTGCCAAGGACGAAGCACAGTGGTGTTGTTTTGAGACCTATTGCCCTCTCCCTAGACAGAAGCAGGAGCTGGGCGACAGCATTGGGCTGGGAGATGGAGAACCAGATGACGAGCATTGGGGTAGCCCTCGGCGAAGTTTACCTTCCTGTAATCTAACCTGGAAATCGAAAAAACACCATAAACACCATAAACAGCTCGATTTGCAGAAGATGTTCGCATTCGGAATTTCCAAGCCAGCCATTTTGGATGAAACAAGCAAACAGCATCACCAGGGAAGTGGATGGATGGGGTACTCAGCCCCAATGGATGCCTGTACTGTCAACCATGGCTGGCAACTCAGCCATTCTGGAAGGCACCAATAAGGCATCCTTTGTATCACGCAGTGTCCTGTTTAGTTCCTTCATGCTGAAGGAAACAGTAGAAAATCATGGAAATCATCAAAACTCTGCTTCTCATCTCGCAAATGAGCGACACAGATTCCTACCAATCAAGGTGTGCCAATCGCATTCTGCGAATAAACACTCATACTGGAGAAGTAGACCTCATCGGCGCATGCCTCAATCTTGCAGAAGTAGTTCAAAGTGTTCTATGCCAATTTCTTGCATTTACTCCAGTCTCCAGTGGTTTGGATTTTGCAACATCCCTTTGGTGTCTCCTGAATTCCAAAGAGTGCTATGCTGATGGCTAAGCCGCTGGTTGACTTCCCGCATTCCAGGTCCAGATCTGGGTTGGACTCCAGACAAGTACAGAGCAGCCGTGGTTGCTACCGACGGGGTGCGGGTCTAGGGACAAGTTAGAACATGTTAGAACCACAACATGCCAAAGTGACTGATGTTGAGCTATGCCATGAACATGGTCTGTTGGGCAGGCGATCTATTGTCCACCACATTCAGTTGGTGCCTCAGTGCGTCAAGGGCGTAGACCCTGAAACTTCACCGCTGTTTCCCCCTAAAAACGTCATCTTGTGAGGCTGCTCGCGTCTTAAGAATAGACCTCACGAGCGGAGAAGTCACTTTCATCGGTTCAGGACTTAGATCAGCGAAGCTTGTGCCATTGTGCTGGTGTGCTGGTTGTGCTGCTTGTTGACCAAGGCCCAGACTACGGCACAAAACGTGGCAAGTCGGCAGACCCAGATCTAAGTGAGGTTGACCTTTCCCAGAGATGCAGTTGATCTATGGGCCCCAGGTGGTGGACTGGGGCAATGAGTTTGGTTAATACCATCCTCTGCCCACCACATTCTGCTGGACAGGCTTGGAATCGTTTTCTAATGTTGGCTTGTAACCATTTGCGATTGCACCTGCTGTGCGACTGTGTCAATCAGTCCAGCATTTGCATGCCTTTTTACCTTAGAGAATCCCTGCATATTTGGGCGCAGGTGCTTCAAATTGATACTTTTCAGAGAACTTGCGCTCTGGTGGGGCGAGACTTTGGTGATGATGAGGTCGGAATTGAGGCTGACGTCCACACTTCTTTCAGATTTGAACTGGCGGGGCTGGAAGGCAAAATATCGCGCCATTGTTCAAAGTAACGATGGATGTTTCTATGGTCCACCTTGCAACGCGCCCCAGGCAGGGATTTGACAGTTATTTGTGAATTCTTCAAAGGGGGTAGATTCGTGGCATGATTCCATATTGTGGCACAGGTCATTTGCATTGATCCAATCACGCCAGATGCTGATTTCATAGGCCGGTCGCCTTGGTGTTTTTTAGAATGTTTCGCCGTTTTATTTGTCTTTGAAACACAGTTATATACTGGCGCGCTTGTGTGTGGAGGTCCTGATTTTTGTGCTGGTGGGTTCAAATGGGTACGGCACTTGTAGCAGTTTGCTTTGATTGAGAATCAAGTTGACTTGGCCGAATGTAGAATTGGTGTTTGTGAGGTCACAGCAGGGCTGGGTGAAGACGGATGCGTCTACAGCATCTCGCCTCCACAGCTTGTATCTATTGAACTTGCCAGGTAAACGACTTCTGTACATACCAAGCAAATGAATGTTTGTACATCCTTGGGAATATGGCTTTCTTGGCTGTCCCTTGAAGATTTCAAGTCCTTGCTGCTCATCCATATCATTTGCAGTCTTTTCATGTATTTCTCAGGTCCGCCGTGGCTGGCCCACAAGGCACTTCGTATTGATGTGCCAAACCGTTGCGGCCTTGGTTTGGTTGCTCAAACGTCAGCAAAAAGTGCAACATAATTGCTTACCAGGTGCTTAGAAAAACATTGCTACAAAGTGTGACAAATAGGTCTAGGTTGTACAGTTTGCATAAATCTACACCTTGCTACAAACCGCCATTCAGCAGAGATGCAATAGATGCAACGGAGATTGCCATGGGCTCAGCGTGTTCCCTTCCTGGATCCTATCCCAACCAAGGTTGGGCAAGGCAAATTGGCAAAAACCATGGTGGGTCTGCCTAGATTTAGAGTTTTGATGAGTTTTGCAGATCCAATGTGTTCCATGGCCCAAGCCCTGGGCGGCATTGCTGAAGCTCTGTAAATAAAAAATAAAGAAAATAGATCTTGATCATCCTTGATTCCAAAAGGATCCAAAAGGCACATCAAAGACGTCCGAAAACTTGGTACCTCTCCAAGGGTAACCAACATCCAACGCGTTGAGGCTGGGGTGGCGGCAAGTGGGACATCATGTGCGCGCACGAGGATGGATTCTTTTATTGTCCTCCCCTTTGTGATTGGGCCTCAGCATTCTCACTGCACCCATGTGCACCCTCAGTGTGTGTTGTAAGTGAGTATTGGAACTGAAAGTTAGCTAGAGAGCTCCACTGACCATGCACAGCCACGCACATGTACATGAATGGAAAGAGTACAAGACTGGCTACGATCGATTTGACGTGGCGTGCCCAAAAGGATGCTGCCTGATCAATGAATGAGGCAACGGACACATTGAGCCTTGACACTGCAATTGGTACAACGGAGGCACCCAGTCCTGGCAGTCAGAAAGTCTGTGTTGTCCAGATGTCAGTGCCACTGAAGACTCGCGCAAAGTATATCATGTTTCAAAAGCAAAGAGCGAAGGAAGGATGGAGAGGGAAATGCCGGGGACAGACTTTTGGTGCACATGCTTCATACTGGTTCATCATGTTTGCTCATTTTTGGCGGCAGTTGCTTGCACCTGAATTGGGCAAAGTGGCCAAAAAGCGCGCAGCTCAGTATGCAGTGGTGAAGAGATCAAAATGGTGGTTTTATAAAATAGGTGTACCCCTAAATCATCCATTCTAATAGGGTTTTCCATTGTAAATCAACCATTTTGGGGTACCTCCATTTATGGAAACCTCCAAACAGCGATGCTTGAGCGTTGCGATGCGTTGCTCGTGTGGGTGTTTCCAGGTGGCGCTGTGCAGCAAGATCCTGCGGGGGTGACCTCTTCTGCCCGCCCTATGGGCATGAGAAGGCAGGACTGACAGGTCCATCAACTAATATGGCTACGGCATGCTACGGCATTCTACGCATGTTCGACATGTTCATGGGTCCTTCAGGGTACCACGGTTTCATGTTCAAATGTTTGAGATGGGAACAGGCCACAAGTGTTCAATCCAACAGAATCTTCCTTTGTGCCTTTAAAATCCTTTGACAGGTTCTCCGACTGACATTCAAAAGCTTGCAACTTGATAGCCGCAGGGATCTCAAAGCTGTTGAAACACTGCGAAACTTCGCCACGCTAAAAACCGCACTGGGCAAATTGGGAAGATGCGGACACATTGCGGACACCAAGGCAGTGGATCGAAAAGCGCTTCCAAAGATGAAGCGTCGAAATCCAAAGATCAGCCATCAAAGGATCCTTCTGAGCTCATTGATGAATAATGATGAATAAAAGTTCCTGACATTGACAATACATGACAATGCTAGAATTTGAGAAACGTCAAAAAGAAAAAGGTTTGCAACCGCATACATCGAAAATAACAACAGGTGCGTAACTGCGTTAGTTAGTTTGCCTTGAAGCCATTCAGTTCTCGGAATTACAATAGAATCTTCCCAATCCCTACCCGATTAGTGTAATATATCGCAAATCTCATCAGAATTCTTGCCGAATTCAATGAAATATATAATACCTTAGAAAACTCCTTTCAATATCCTTTCTTAAATGTGCTTGAAAATTAGCAAAGTAAATCGAAATAACTTCAATTTTACCAGTAGGACCGCACAAGGCGGTGGCGGCAGTTTCAAAAATAGGAAACCTATAGGAGAGGTTGGTTGTTGTGAATCAGAGATGGCAGAGCGAAGCCACTGATGGAGCGAAAGGTGATTGATCTCTCTCACTATTTCTCTCTCTTTCTCTGACTATCTACCTACCTACCTATCTATCTATCTATCTGTCTAT